CAAATCCAGTGGCAGTGGGAGAGGCACAATCTCGGTAGGTCTGGTGTCCCACCATGAGGTCCTTAACTGGAGCCCAGCACCACCACCACCACCACTCCTAGACATCTAGGAGATACCTGTTCCAAAAATAAAATGTCCATATGCCTCCTCAAAGAGTTTCATATAAAGTACGTGCTCAATAAAATAGTGGATGAGAAATTTGGGCCAGATGACAGAAGGCGAGGACAGGTTTTGGTAGATGGGCCCAGTTTGGGGAGACAAAGTGGTCATCCATCCCCTAGATAAAACCCACTGGCCCAAGAGCCACCTGGACAAGAACTCCCTGTACACCGTTGAGGCCACGGCCTATGCGCTGATGGAGAAGGTGGTGTTGGGTCGGCACAATGAGACGCACGCCATTGCCAGGTGGCTACTGGAGAAGTGGGAGCTACGCGGAGGCTTCAAGTCCACCCAGGTGACCCGAGCCTCGGAAAGAGGGGGTTGGGGAGAGGGGCGCTAGCCGAGGTGCTGATAAGGCCAGCCCACCGGAAGGAGCTACCCGTGGTGCTGATTTGCCACGGTGCGGGTTCCCGGGGCGTTGGGTCAGTGGTGCTGATCCGCGGCCCCATCCCAACACCTAGACTACTGTGGTGGCCCTTGAGGCCCTCACCCACTTCCGCGAAGCTGTCCCTTTCGATGGTGTCCAGGATCTCCGGGTCCAGATAAGCGTCCCCAAGAAAGCCTTGGACTTGGAGCGGATCATCGATCAGAACAATGCCTACCAGCAGCAGTCAGCAAAGGTAGGGCACTGAGGGGCAGACAGGAAGGCCATACAGAGGCGGCATTGGGGATGAGGCCAAGAGTCATGTCCCTGCCAATCTCCCTCTCCAAGATTATCTCACAAACAGTGTCTATACTGGCAATGTACTGACTCATTTATTCCACCATATCTTGAGCACCTATTGTGTGCTAGTCATTCTCCTGGGCAACGGGGATGCATTATGAAAGATCTGTGGCCTCTGATCACATGAAACTTACAGTGTAGAAAGAAACTAAGACAAAAAGTATTTTAAGCTTTCTGGACATAGGGGAAATAAATGTGTGTAAAGGGGAAAATATCCTGGATGTGAGGAAGAAGATAATCTCCATGGCCTTACTCCATGGAGGAAGTGATATTTACTTTCAATCCTTTGACACAACTTTATTGAGCACTCATTGTATGCCAGGCGCTATTCTAGGTGATGGGAATATAGCCATGAATGAGACATTAAAAAATCCCTTTCCCTGTAGAACTTTATATTTCAATGGGCGAGACAGACAATAAAGAGATGTGAGTAAGTAGCATATGTTGTGTGTTACATGGTGGCAAGTGTTATAGCTAAAACTTAAGCAGAGGGCGCCTGGGTGGCTCAGTTGGTTAAGCAACTGCCTTCGGCTCAGGTCATGATCCTGGAGTCCCGGGATCGAGTCCCACATCAGGCTCCCTGCTCAGCAGGGAGTCTGCTTCTCCCTCTGACCCTCTTCCCTCTCGTGCTCTCTGTCTCTCATTCTCTCTCTCTCAAATAAATAAATAAAATCTTTAAAAAAAATAAAACTTAAGCAGAAAGGGGGGGCACATCAAGGAGTTGCAATTTTAGATAGGAGAGGTAGGGAAGTTCTCACCAAGATGGTAACATTTGAGCAAAGACCTTAAGGAAAGGAAGGAGTGAGCTTTGTGGATATCTAAGCAGAGGAAACAGCAGGAGCAAAGACCCTGAGGCAGAAGTATCCCAAGAATAGCAATGGGGTTTAAGCAGGGGTGATGAGAATGGATGTGAATTTGTAAAAATTTTTCTCTGGCTGATAAGGAACAATGTATGATGGAAACAAGAGTAGATGCGGAGATGCCAGGGAGAAGAATCTTGTGGTGGCTCCATGCACAAGGAACTCTGTAGACACTTGAACAGATTGAACTGATATACATTAGGACAGAGCCTGAGTTGGCAGTTGTAGTTGATCTGTGACAGTGTAGATACCACAAACGCTCTATCAAAAAGAAAAAGTAAAACCATCTATGTGGGGAGAGGGGGCAGTAAGTCACTAGACCCCAAGTTAGGGAAATTACTGAGGCCTCACTGCCCATACTTGCTTTCCTCCCCGACCCCGTTGCATTTGAGCCATGTTTTGCTGCTTCCTTTGTGCTCAAATCCTCTTCTTGCTTCCTTTCAGTTCTCTGCCCAGGATGACCTAGAGATCAAATCCAGTGGCAGTGGGAGAGGCACAATCTCGGTAGGTCTGGTGTCCCACCATGAGGTCCTTAACTGGAGCCCAGCACCACCACCACCACCCCCCTTGCTGGTGGGAATAGAGACAGTCTATTGCAAGACAAGATTGAAATCAGCAATATTTCTAGCTACCATTTAGGGCACTACTATTTGTTAAGGACACCTCGAAACCTGCCCCTAGCAAGTTGGTAAAAATATGGACTCCATTTAACAGGTGGGGAAATAGAGACTCAGGAAAGTCTTCACTTATTATGAGTCAAGAGTCAGGAGAGGTAGAGGCCAGAGGTTTTTGGACCTGTCATGCTGAGTCCCTGAAGGGGTGTCTCTTTCTTCACCTCCCCAAAGGAAGATTCTCCCTCCAGCATGCCTTCCAATGCCCGGAGAATGACTCCACCCTTTCCCCCAACATCTAGGGGCTCCGTTATATCTTCTGGTGCCATGCCCTGTGGCCCAGGAGGACAGACCTCTTGTTCACTAAATTTGAACAGCCTGTTTTCATATTTCTGGCAATGGAATCACAGTTGAATCTCTGCCTTTGTTGTGTGACTTTGGGCATGTCCAACTCTTCCATGAGCCTCCGTTAAATTTAAATTAAGTAAAATTAAAAATTCAGTTCCTCGGTTGCACTAGCCACATTTCAAGTGCTCAATGGCTACGTGTGGCTAATGGCTACCATATGGACAGGTAGAGACTATTTCAATTACTGCAGAAAGTCCTACTACACAGAGGTGGTCTAGACTCTAAAGAGTGTTCTGGTCACTGCATCCAGAAATTTGGGGGGCACAGACTTTGCTGTGACTTATCCACAGGGGCAGAACCTGGATAGGCGAGGACTGGAGTGAGAAGGAAGGGAGTGGGTGGGAATGATCTCTGACACCTTCCCTGCCCTGGCAGATCCTGACCATGTACCACAGGTTCCCAGAGTCTGGGGAGGGCACCTGCAACCTGTACCACCTGAATGTGACTCTCCATAGTACCTTGGAAGGTGAGCATAGACCCAGGGATTCCCAGACCTTCCTTTTTATTATTTTATTTTAGTTTTCATTCAGTAAGCACATGTATTGCCTTATTCAACTCTTCAACAAATATTTATTGAGCATTTACTATGTGTCATGCCTTGTTTCTGGACTCTGGGAACACAGGCATGAACAAGAAAAATACCCCTTCTTCTCCTGGAGCCCACATTCTAGTAGGGGGAGACAAACAATAATACAACAATAAATAAATTATACTCCTACTGCTATTTATTTATAACAATCTGCATTATAAAAAATAAATATATAGCACACTAACAGGTGATGATAACTACCATACAAAATAAAGCAGGAAAAGGTGATACACACTTGGTGGGGGTCCAGGGGAAGCACTCTGAGGAGATGGCATTTGAGCTCAGACATGAAAGAAATGAGAGAATGAGCCAGGAAGGATCTGAGGGAATAGCATTCCAGGCAGGCAGAACAGCAGGTGCAAAGGCCTGGAGGCAAGAATGAGCTCACCTGGTTTGAAGAAGCCATTGTGGCCACAGAAGAGCAAGGGGTAGAGTTTTAGGAAAAAGAGTTGGAGAGGTGATGGGGGCAGATGGTGTAGGGACTCATGGGCCACAGTGAGAACTTTGGTTTTTGCTCAGAGTGAAGTGGGAGCTATAGAAGGTTCTGAGCAGAGGAGGGATATGACGGAGCACAGGTTTGCACAGGCTCCTTCTGGCACAGACTGTACAGGGCAAGGGGCAGAAGCTGGGAGACCAGGGAGGAGGTGACTGCACTGGTCTTGCAGGAGATGATGGGTGCTGAACTGGGGTAGGGGGCTGTGGAGATGATCAAAATGGGATTCTAGAGTTCCTAGTCTGGGGTACCAAGGAGGAAGAGACAAGACTCTGCCATTGGGAGCTCACCGTAGGGATGAGAGGAATAACCCTCAAAAGCCCCAGGACTTTAAGGGACTAAAAGTGACCAAGGCTTTGGCTCGGGTTGCATTTCTTAATAATAATAATAATAATAATAATAATAACAGTAGTAGTAGTAGTAATAGTAATGGTAGTAACAATAACTGATGATTATAAAGCACCAATAAGGCACTGTGTTAAGTGCTTTACTTGTATTAACTCATTTAATCCTACAACTCTGCTGGGTTGAGAATATTATGCTCCCCATTTACAGATTAGGTAACTAAAGCACAGAGAGTTTAAGCAACTTGCTCAAAGTCACACAACAGAGCCAGGATTTGAACCCAGGAAGCTGTGTTACCCAGCCTCTAAACTCCTGCCTTCTCTCTGCAGATAATAAAAAGGGGGAAGAGACCTTCCGGCTCTGGATAGAGACAAGGTTAGGGCACCAGGATCTTGGGCTGGGCAGGAGGAAGGCCTCACTTCCTGGTATCCAGACTCCTTACGTGTTGAATGGAGGGTGGGAACCAGCCACGCTTCCTTCTCCATGCTTCCCTCATCCTACCACCCATCCTGCCCTCCCCTGCCCATTCCCCTGCCTGCCTCCCACCCTGCCCGCCCATGCTTGTCTACCATCCTGCTCCGCAGTCCTGTCCTTCAACCTGCCATGTCCTGGGATGGTGGGCTCCATCACGGCAAACATGCTCTATGTCCCAGATGCCCAGAACTGGTTCCAAGCCCACAGCTCTCTCCGTCCTCATCTTCTTGAGACATCCCAGCCCTCACCCCAGTTCTGCCCTGTCTCCCAGATGCCCTCACCCAGGTCTGACCCAGATAAAAACATGTGTTGAGCATCTGCTGAATGCCAGGCTCTGTTCTAGGAACTGAGGGTACAGTGTGAACAAGGCAGCTCCTCTGCCTGGTGGAGCTCACAGCGTATCTCAGGGGAGATAGACAATAACAAAAGTCATCCAGAATCAATGTAAAATGACAACTGTGACTAAATATGGCAAAGGAGAGATCCAAGGAGCTACAGGAGAGCAAATTAGAGAATGATTTGGTGCATAGGCTGGAGAAGGCTTCCCAGAGGGAGTGATGGATCAGTGGAAATTGCAAAGATGCCAGGATGTTTCAGGATAGAAAAAGGAGTGAGGACTCCAGGCAGAGAGTCACAGCATGTGCCAAGGTCCAGTGCAGGAGACAGACACTGAGAAGCAATCACATGAAGGCTGGGCTGAGAGGAGGCGAAGCGGAAGGGTGAGACAAGACGCCTGGTAAATGTTGTTAAGCAGGGAAGCAACCCATCAGACTCCCAGTTGCTAAATCTGTAAGCTTGCTGAGGGCAGAGGAGTAATGGGGAGATCCAGAAGGAGGCTGCTGACTGCCTTCATCCAGGCATGAGAACAATGATGGCGGTAGGAGCATTGGGGAGAGGCGGGGTGAGAGTGGGAAGAGATATTGGATCTGTGAAATCCCCAGGTTCCAGGGAAATCGAGAGGCCACAATGAGCATCATAGAGGTCTCCCTGCTCACCAGCTTCTACCCCAACCAGAATGACCTCAAACAGGTAATGGAGGTCCCACCTGCCTACTCCTGAGCAGGCTGGGGCTGCCCTAGCAACATCCCACACTCCCCGTGTGAGCACAGGGGTCAAGGCCCCCAGGTTAATGCCCCGTGTTCTGTAGCCATGATCACCTCTGATTGCCTCCCTCCATCACCTTAGACAAATCCTTGCCCTGATTGTGCCTCAGTTTCCCCGACACTGGTGCTGGTGGGACAAGGGCTGGAAGCTTGAGAGTTACTTCACACTGACTAGAGTTCCTAGAGCTGGGGACCTCAGGGGGTCTCTGCCAACCTGCAGTCCTCACCCTTTGCCCCAGCTTACGAGTGATGTGGAGATGTATGCCTTCCAGTATGAGACCAAGATGAATTCCAGTGACAACACTGTTGTCCTCTACCTGGAGAAGGTAAGGAAGCCTGGGTGGCCCCCTCCAGAGGCCTATGGGCAGCCTGGTGAGCACAGAATCCATGGTCAGCGCCTTGGGCAGTGTTGCCAGAGAATCATAGTGCCTGAGGTCAGCTCCCCAGGCTGCAAGGCCACGTTGTCAGTGCTTTGGTCAAGGCCCTGTGGTCAATGCCCCATGATCAGTGGCCTGGTCAGCTCAGACAGGATTCCCTTCCCGCCCCCGACCCCCAGCTCTCCCACAAGGAAGACACAGTGCTGGGCTTCCGGGTCCACAGGATGCTGCAGGTGGAGTTCCTGCAGGCCGCTCAGGTCACCATGTAGGACTACTATGAGCCTTGTAAGCACGGGTAGGGGTTGGGGGGTGGACGGGTATCCCGCTAGGGGACTGCGAAGGACTGGGCCAGGAGGGAGGGATGAGTGGCGGGGCCGGGAAGGGGGCTTGGGGCGTGGCTGAGAGGGGCCTAGGCATGCGGGGGGAGGGTACGGAGAAGGGTGCTGAAAGGGACCGACAGGGGTGTGGTGATAAGGGGCGTGGCCTTCCTGGCTGGTCAAAGCTGTGGGGAGTCTGGAAGGGGATGGGACGGAGAAGTGACTGGGCTCGGCCCCGCTGGGCAAGAAGAGCAGAGTCTTCAAGGGGGAGGGTCCTGCGGAGGGAGTGACTGGGCAGGGCCGGGGAGGGGGGTGAGGGGCTGGGAGGGCTTCGAGGGCGGAGCCAGGGGTCCCCAGGAACGCTGGCCCAAGCCGACCCCAGGCACACGCCCCTCTCTCAGCCCGGAGGTGCAGCTCCTTCTACAACCTGCCCACAGAGCAGTCTTCTCTGCGGAAGATCTGTCACAAAGATGTCTGCAGGTGTGCGGAGGGTGAGGTCCTGGGGACACCGAGGCGGGGGCTGCCAGGCTGGGGATCCAGGAGCGATTTATCACCTCCTGGCTGTCGTCTGGACGGAGTTTAGACAGAGAGAGATATTGAGACGGGAAAACAGAGATAAAGAGAGACAGAGAAAAGGAGACCCAGAAACAGACTGACACACACAGCCGGGCACAGCCAGAAATGGAGGGAGACGTAAAGAAACTCAGATGGGAGAAGGAGACCGAAAAGAGACATAGAGGAAAAGAGAGAGAACCCTGACCCAGAGACCTAGAGGTGGCTGGCCTGGGGCCAGATGGGGGTCAGATGGGAGGGGGCCCCCTCCCTCAGCACAGCCAGAGCAGCTGCCCTCCTGAATCCCCAGAACAGTGCCCATCTCCGAGGAAGGACAGCACCCGCCTGAGGCAGGAGGACCTCCAGGCAGCAGCCTGTGAGACAGGCGTGGACTTCGGTGAGTGCGGGAAGTGGCGGGAGGCAGGAGGAGGTCCACCTGCAGGCCAGAAGCCAACAGGCCACCCTCCTGCCCCTGCTTTCCCAGTGTACAAGGTCAGGCTGAAGTCTGTGAAGTCCTCCACCTCCAGTCCCTACATCTATTACAACATGAAACTCGAGGACATCATCAAGAGGGGTATGTCCAAGGGGGCAGAAGAGGCAGTGTGAGGGGCGCCTGGGTGGCTCAGTCATTAAATGTCTGCCTTCGGCTCAGGTCATGATCCCAGGGTCCTGGGATCAAGCCCCGCATCGGGCTTCCTGCTCAATGGGAAGCCTGCTTCCCCCTCTCCCACTCCCCCTGCTTGTGTTCCCTCTCTCGCTGTATCTATCTCTGTCAAATGAATAAATAAAATCTTTAAAAAAAAAAAAAAAAAGGGTGCCTGGGTGGCTCAGTTGGTTAAGCCACTGCCTTCGGCTCAGGTCATGATCCTGGAGTCCCCGGATCAAGTCCCGCATCGGGCTCCCTGTTCGGCGGGGAGTCTGCTTCTCCCTCTGACCCTCCCCCCTCTCATGTGCTCACTCTCTCTCATAGACAAATAAAAAAAAATCTTAAAAAAAAAAAAAAAGAAGAGGCAGTGTGAGGTTCTACCTTGGGGATCCCGATGGGCCAGGTCTGTGTATGCTCACACACTGGGTCTCCTCTCCTCCAGGCACAGACTCTGCTGTGTCCCTCACCATGAAGAAATTCATCTCTCACACCACCTGCCATGACTCCCTGGGGCTACAAGAACAGGAGACATACCTCATCATGGGCCACATTTCAGACATGTGGAAAGTCAAAACTGAGTGTGTGGGGGGTCCTGCTGTCCCAGGACTCAGGCGTAGGCCCCCTTCCCTACCCCAGCCCAGTTCCTATCAGCGCCAGAAACCCTAGGTTTCAGGGCTACCCTGAAGGGAGGTACTGACCATGCACTGCACAATTCCAATGGAGGGGGGGGCGAAGAGGGGGGATTCTATTTGCATGTAGATGCTGTAGATGTAGACAAAGATTCAGTTTTCCAATAGAGGGAGGTAAAGAATCAGAGGAAGAGGAGACTTTTTTTAATCCCCAGCCATGTGGGCTACAGGCTGGGGGCCCCAAGATGGCCCTGTGGAGTGGACATGACGGGCCTTGGCCCTGGGAGGCTGCCTATCAGGGAAGAGAAGCACAGCAGGGAGGGCTCCATGCCTCCAGGGCACGGGGCTCTCCTCACCCTCCTTGCCGTCTCCCCCCACAGTTACATCTATGTCCTGGGCAAGAAGACATTCTTCATGCAGTGGCCGGCCGATGGGGATGTGGCAAGAAGGAATTGCTGGACCACCTGACGGGATTTTCAGACTATATGAGTACTCATGGCTGTGAGTCCTGAGACTCTGAGGTCTCTACTGCCCTCAGGAGGTTGTTTCCAAGCAGGCACAGGTCACTGGCCTTAACTCCAAATAAAGAGCATGGAGTATCATACCCAAAGTCCATACATTTGTCCCTGCTCCAACATTCATCAAGGACCCTGCACAACCAGCCCCAACACTGCAGGGACCTGCCTCCTCCCTCTCCCTCCTACACCATTTCAATTACACTGGCCTCCTCTGTGTCCTTCCAACACCCAAGTTGATTCCTACCTCAGGGCCTTTGCACTCACTGTTCCCTCTACCAAGTACACCCTTCTTCCAGATATCTGAATGTATTGAACCCTTCCCTTATTTGGACTTTCTTCTTTCTCATGGCTGAATAATAGTCCAGAGTTTAAATGTTTAAATATTGCTTCCTCAGGGGTGCCTGGGTATCTCAGCTGGTTAAGCATCTGCCTTCGGCTCAGGTCATGATCCCAGAGTCCTGGGATCAAGCCCCGCATCAGGCTCTCTGCTCAGCCGGGAGCCTGCTTCTCCCTCTCCCTCTGCTGTTCCTCCTTCTTTCTCTCTCTTTCTCTCTCTTTCTCTCAAATAAATGAATAAATAAAATCTTTTAAAATCTTTTTAAAAATGCTGCTGGGTGCCTGGGTGGCTCAGTCGTTGAGCGTCTGCCTTCGGCTCAGGTCATGATCCCAGGGTCCTGGGACCAAGCCCCGCATCGGGCTCCCTGCTCAGCAGGAAGCCTGCTTCTCCCTCTCCCACTCCCCCTGCTTGTGTTCCCTCTCTCTCTCTCTCTCTGTCAAATAAATAAATAAAAATCTTTAAAAAAATAAAAAATAAAAAAGTGTTGCTTCCTCAGAGATACTTGCTTTAATAACATACCTAAAATAGACCCCCTTCCATCACTTTCTCCCCTACCCTGCTTTATTCTCTCAATAACACTTATAAATATTTGTTTATGATATTTATTGGTTTGATTGTTAAATGGGCATTTCTCCTGCCTTACAATGTCAGCTCCTTAAAACCAGGGGCCATGTCTGTCTTGTTCACTGCAGTATTCTCAGTTCATACAGCAGGGGCTGGTACATAATAGGTGCTCAGGAAATGACTGTTGAATTAATGAATGAGTTATGAATGAATTTGGTGCCCACCCTGCACCTGGTCCTGATGGAAGATTTGATGGGGAGCCCCAGGCAACTGAGGAGCTGAAACAAGGGGCAAGGAAAAGTGAATGAGTTTCATCATGTGGCCTGGGATGGGAATGGGAGACCTGCCCAGCCAAGGCAGCAGCTCATGTGTCTCCAGGGACCCCCAAGTGCTAAGGGACTGCAAGGCATCCAGGATGGCTTGATCCTGGGGTGTCAATGAGGGACTGACATAAGAGGGAGAAAGAGAAAGATGGGGCAGGGAGACTGCTGGGTGGGCTGACTTCATAAAAGGTTTTGAATACCAGGCTAAAGGATTTAGTCATTATCAAGGGCAGTAGGGAGCCATGGAAGACGTTTGAGCAGGAGAGGAACTGACCAGCCCTGAGGTAGAAGGCCCAGCTGAGGTTGATGGATGAGAACTGAGTTGATGGCTAGAAACCTGGGGAGGAGCCTGGAGCTGTGGGGTCATAGGCTAGCATGGTGGCAACTGCCTGAGTTCAAATTCTGCCTCCACCTCTTCCTGGGGCTGTGTGACCTTAGCCGGTTACTCACCTCTCTGTGCTTTGGTTTCCGCATCTTTAACGTTACTTCCCTCAGAGAGTAATTGTGAGTGTCAGCATATAGTAAATATTCAATAAATTCTCACTGGCTTTTCGATGAGGAAGATAAGAGACCATGGGAGAGAGTGGAGCTGCTAGAATCCATAGGTCAGAGAAAAAATCAGGTCAAGCAACCCCTGCTCAAAGCCCTCCCAAGCTCCTATTGCTCTGACACCACAGCCCTCAAGGCCCTGTACCGTGGCCCTGTCACCAGCCTGACCCCATGGCCCCCCAGTCTCCACCTCACTCACTCCAGCCACACTGTCCTTCTCCACGGTTCCCACAAACTCCTAGCTCCTTCTTGCCTCTGGGCTGTTGCATAAGCTGTTCCCTCTGCCCAGAACACTTTTCCTGTGACTGCTTTCTCTTCATCCTTCCAGTCTCCGCTCAAAGACTCCTTCTCCAACCACTCTGGCTAGATGTATTGGACCCTATCTCTCCCTGCAATCTGATTGTTTCCTTCAGAGTAGATGTTACAGTGCATGATGATATGCTGGGTTCTTTACTTACAGCTTTGCTGTCTGTCTCCCATACTGCTGGGAGCCCCAGGAGAGCAGAGAGGCGTCTTAGTCACAGATATAACTGCAGCAGCCCACGCAGAGCCTGGCACACACAGTAGGTGTTCATTTTGCTGAATTAAAGACTGAATAAATGAAAGAGAAGAAAGGGAGAGGGGAAAGAGGGAGGATAATGGAAAGGAGAAGCAAAGAAGCCAGCAAACAAAGGGGAAGACAGGCTCATGGCTCATTTCTGTACAGCCCTCAAGCTAAGAATGTTTTTTTACATTTTAAAAGAGTTTGAAAAAAAGAAGATTATGTAACAGAAACTGTATATGACCTGAAAAGCCTAAAATATTTATTATCTTGTCCTTTGGGGGGGGGAAGTGCCTACCCCTGAATTAGTGCTTTAGTTATCAATTGCTATGAAACAAATTACCCCAAAACTTGGAGGCTTAAAGCAGTAAGTATTATCATTTGCAGTTTCAGTGGGTTGGGAATCCACGGGGAGCAGCTGAGTTTCATGGTTTGGGCTCAGGGGTCTCTCATAAGATTACAGTTAAAATGTCAGATGGGGCAGCTGTCATCTGAAAGCTCGGCTGAGGCTGGAGGAGCCACCTCCAAGGTAGCTCCCTCACATGGCTGGCAAGCTGGTGGTGGTTAGTGGGAGGATTCAATTCCCTGCCACGTGGACCTCTCCACAGCGTTCCTTGAGTGTCCTCATGGTATGGCAGCTGGCTTTCCCCAAAGTGAGTGATCAAAGAGAAAAAGCAAGGAGGAAACCATAGTGCCTTTTAAGAGCTAGACTCAGAAATCACATAGCATCATTTCCACAGCACTCTAGGAGTCACATGAGCCAGCATGATTCAGTGAGGACCAGGACTACATAGAGCATGACTGTCAGGAGGCAGGGGTCCCTGGAGGCCATCTTGAAGGCTACCAACCACAGCTAGTGGCAGAGTTTGGGATCTGAACCCAAGCAACCTCGCTCCAGAGTCTATGCACTCACCACCATGTACAGATGTCTCTCAGTGGCAAAGGGTGAGCACATTTGTAAAACAGACTTCATTTTTTAGATAAGTTTTAAATTTACAGAAACAGGGCACCTGAGTGGCTCAGATGGTTAAGCGTCTGCCTTCGGCTCAGGTCATGATCCCAGGGTCCTGGGTTCGAGTCCCACATCGGGCTCCCTGTTCCTTGGGAGCCGCTTCTCCCTCTGCTTCTCTCTCTCTCTCTCTCTGTCTCTCATGAATAAATAAATAAAATCTTTAAAAAAAATAAAATAAAAATAAAAATAAAAAATAAATTTACAGAAACAGTGAGAAGACAGTACAGAGTTTCCATATACCTCTGCAATTTCCCTATTATTAACATCTTACATTACCATGATGCATTTGTTATAAAGTAGCAAACCAATACTGATACATTTTGTTCCCTGAAATCCATACTTTAGATTTCCTTAGTTTTCACCCAATGCCCTTTTTCTGTTCCATGATCGCATCCAGAACACCATATTACATTTAGTCTGTGACAATTTCCCAGACTTCTCCTTGTTTTTTATGTCTC